GTGTTGCCCAGGATAGCCTAGAACTTGGTAATTCTCCAGTCTTTGAAGTGGGATGACAGGCCTGAGCCACCACTCTGGCTTGAATTTCCAGAGCTCTTGGGTTGGGCTTCTACAGGAGCCAATGTACTGGAATCTGTCTTCAGGTCGGATCCGGCAGACACACAGCCCCTGGAGCTGGGTCCTGACACTCAGTCTGTGAAGCATGGCCTGGATGGCAAAGGGACTCTAGATGTGGCTATGTCAAAGCCCTTGAGATGAGGTAATGATGGTGTCTTCTGATTCACCTCATCACCTCCCAAAGGTTTCACCTCCTGATGCTTCATGTTGAAAACGGGCATTCCCAGCCACGGACTTAAAGAACATAGACACATATGGTTGGCTTCTCTAGATAGTTCTGATGTAAATAAAATGTCCTAGGACGTGAGAGGGTGGCAGGAGGAAAGTCGGAGACACAATCAATAGTCAGCGGGAGAGGAGGAGGAGGCCTTGAGCCAAGGGAAGCAGGTGATCTCCAGGAGTCAGGAAGGGCAGAAACAGATCCTACCAGAGGGGATGCATCCCCTTTCACACTCCAGACCTCTGGGATGATAAACTCATATTGCTATGAGTTACTATGCTCCAGCTCACTTATTACGGCAGTCACAAGGGGTTCACACCTGAAGTGTATGAGTTCCTGACATCTGGCTACTTCTGTGTACTAACTGAGCAATGGGCATGGAAGGAAAGGAGTGTGAGAGAGACAGGAAAGAGGAAGTGGAGTGGGAATGGAGAAAAGGAAGAGGAGGAGAGATGGGAGTAGAGAGAAGGAATAGAGGGAGAAGTAGGGGGTGGAGGGAGGAGCGATGGGAAGGGGGAAGAGGAGGAAGAGGAGAGGGAAAGGGTGGAGGACCTGGAGGTGTTGAGGGAGGAAGGTGCTATGGGGTAAGGAAGGGCAGGTAAGGAGGGTGAATTGCATTCACCGCTCTACAGAGATGACCTGCTCGCTTCCCATCTGGGCTCCTCTGGGAGCCTGAGGAGGTTAGGACAGATGATTCAGCCTTTCCTTGGGTGCCTGGGGACCAACAGAAAGCATCAGTGTGTCTGTAGCATGGGCTGCAACCCCAAGCCTTTCTCCATACTACCTTGTTGCCCCAGCCCTACCCCAACAGAAACTCAACCCTGGCCAGAATTTGGAGAGTATGGAGTCCATGACCCCTCTAAAGCTGGGGAAGGCTGCTGCTGGTGTCTATATCGGCCTGGCTCCTCTTCTCCTCTAATATGGGTAGCCTTATATTGATCAGGGTCTGTCCTGCTCCCAGTGACCTAATCTTTTAACTTTTTGCATCTGCAGTGACTTAATGGCAAATTCTGAGGGTCCAGAGAGGACATAGGTTAGAGGACACCCTACCTACCCAGCACCCCACCTACCAACCCCATTCCCTATCTTCATCCCTGTTACACTGCCCACTTCCATTTTCCAAATCTGTTGTGAGCCTTTGTAAGCCACGTTGGCCTACAGAAGCCTTAGTCATCCAGGCCTTGACCTCCTGGGTGACGTGCTGACCAGCAGACCAGCACCTGGTCATCAAGCCATTCTGGACTTTGTCCATATCTCCAGCATCTCCCCATGATGCACTCATCCTCAGCTTCCACCCCCACCTGGCTGGGCTATTCACCAGCCGTCTGCCCAGAACCAGAGGTGTCTGTTAGTTTCCTGGTTTTCCAAGGGCTGCTGCACAGGCCCAGCTGCCAGAGGGCAGAGCAAAACAGCCTCATCCGCTTGTGCTAAAGTCCCATGTCACCAAACCGAAACTAAGCTGTTATCTGACTTCCAAGAAATCAGGAGGCAACAGCCAAGTTCCCCAAACAGACCCTTCCATAAGTCCCCTGCCTTAAGCCTTACACCAGCTAATCCTTGCAGAAAGCAGGAAGGAAGCAGTGAGGTGTTAAGCAACCCCATGTCATTTTTGCTGGTTTCAGCCTGGCTGTCTATAAAGTCAGCCTCCTCTGCTCCAGCTGTGCTATCCCAGCATTTCTACTCTATGGGATCAAGTGGTGCCGGGTTCCAGAATCAAAGGCAGAGGCAAGTAAGACCAAGGAAGTGGACAGATCCCTGCATGCCTAGGGCTTGTATCTAACTCCATGTGGGTTCCTCTCCTCTCTGAACACCTGTCTGGGGGCCTCTTCTGAACTGCCTTCTGCTTCTCCCTCCACCTCCCAGAACTTGGGGGCATGACCCCATCAATCACCAGGCCCCAATCCTGCCTCCCTGGTTCCATTTTCCTGCCTTTTCTCTACCAGAAGCCCTTATGCTGATCTAGAGAGTCACCACACCTTGCAAGTCAGTGGCACTGCTAACACAGACCTCACCAAGTCTTCAACCTTAAAAGAGCAGCTCCCCATGCCCACCTTCCCAACCCGCAATTGCAATCTGCCCTCCCCACCATTGCCCTTCTTCCCTGTGTAGTGTATGAATACTGTCCATCACTCCAGGTAAGGCAGTCGCTAGAGACCAAAGGTACTATTCCACCGAGTCTGGGTTAGAGAACCAGTGAGTCCATGGAGTTAATTATAGGGTGTGGGTGACACAAAGCCATCACCAAAGGGCTCACTGCAGGCTGGAAAGATGGCTCGGTGGGTAAAGGTGCTTGCCTGACCACAAGACTGATAATTTGAGTTCAGTCCATGTGATCCACATTGTAGAAATAAGGAATCCACTCCCCAAAGTTGTTCCGACTTCCACATGTACACTGTGGAATGCACACACACACACACACACACACACACACACACACACACACAGCCTTTTGTTGTTATTGCTGTCTTTTACAGCCTACTCCAACATGATTGCGCTCTCACAGAATCTGCATGTCTGGAGCTCCCTGCCTGCAAGCTTTACTGGCACTCTGTCTCCTCTCCCCAGCAATTGTTTATAGCTTAGATAACCTCCATGAGGGCTCTCATGAATTCCTAAGTCTCTTGAGCTTTCTGATCCTGTCTCCACCAACACACACAAGGCAGAGTTTCCCATTTGAGGGCATAGCTACACAAGAGCTCCCCCTTTTAAAAATCATTGACTCCCTTGAGGGAAGACTTGCCCCCATCTATTGTCTGTCCCCAGAGGACTCAGTGACTAGAGTCAACCAGCTTACGTCCCACAGCTACTGGACTTGCTCTCTCTTCCCTCCAGCTCCATTTCCTACCCCCACCTCTTCACAACCAAACCCTTCGAGAGATGTACATACTTGTGAGATCACTGTCACCTCCCCTGGGATCCTCACCCAGACTGGCCCTTTATGACGTTCTGATGAGACTGCAGAATGGTGTGGCTGCCTTGGAAAACAGAGTTTCCTGTAAGACCCTGTAATTTCACCAAGAGAACTGGAAATACACACACAGAGCTATGCACGTGTCTTTACTGCAGTATCATTCATAACCGCTAAAAATATCCAACCAGGGAAAGGTCAAAGTCAAGTGCAGCTGCACAATGGAATATTAGCCAGCCATAAAGAGCGCAGTACTGTGCTACAATACAGATCAATCTTGTAAACATTATGCTGAAAGAGAACCACCAAAGACCGCACAGTGAATATCATGTTCACAAGAGTGGTTGGAACAGAAGGGGCCAGAGAGGCAGACAGCAGCTTTGTGGTGGTTTGAGGCTAGGGAAGGATGAAGAGGTAGCAGTGACCCTCGGGCAGCCTACGCACCTTCTGAGTACGGGAACTCAGTGAGGGCCTGGAGAGAGGAAGCTGTGCACTATGTCAGTGAAGTTTCGACCACGGTACCAAAGTCATGCTCTGAAGAAGCTCACGGTCACTTGGTCATAGGTTCTGCTGTATGTGGATGACTCCAGTAGGACTCAGAAGGCAGTACAGGGGCTGGCAAAATGGCTCGGGGGGTAAAGGCCTTCATTCTAATTTCTGGAACCCACATAAAAGGAGAAAAACAACTCCCAAAGGTTGTCTTCTGACCTCCAGCCACACACCACACCCACCTCCCCCCCACACACACACAATAAATGTTTAGAAATGGAAAAGGGGGCTGGAGAGATGACTTGGTGGTTAGGAACACTTGCTGTTCTCTTGGAGGATCCAGGTTTGGTTCCCAGCATCCACATGGTGGCTCACAACCATCTATAATCCTAGTTCCAGGGGATTCTAAACTCTCTTCAGGTCTGTGAGCACCTGCATGGATGTGAAACACATACATACATACATTCACATGCACACATTAAAAACAATAAATCTTTGAAAAAATAAAAACTGAAAAAGCCACATATACTTCTGCATAGGAAAAATATGTGGAAATACTTCTGCATAGAAAAAAATGTGCGGAAATACATAGTCTGAAATCTTTTTTTGTTTGTTTGTTTGTGGCAGGGTTTCTCTGTGTAACAGTCCTGATTGTCCTGGAACTAGTTCTTATAGACCAGGCTAGCCTCAAACTCTCAGAGATCCGCCTACCTCTACCTCTGAAGTGCTAGGATTAAAGGCATATGCCACCCCTGCCATGCCTAGTATGAAATCTTAACAGCAGTTTTTGCTCAGTGGTGGGTGGTGGGCTGAAAGTTGATAAGTGTGAAGACCACAGATGGATTAGGAAGTCATCCTCAATTGCTCTCCACCTTTTTTAAGACAAGGTTTCTCTCTGAACTCAGAGCTCACTTTTTGGCTACACCACTGAGACAGAGACAGCAAAGTCCAAGGGTCCTCTACGTCTCTAGCACTGAGATTATCCACACATGCTCCTGCACGTGTGGCCCTTTATGTGGGTTCTGAGGGGTCATACTCTAGTTCATATTCTTGTACAGCAAGCGCTTTACTGACTGGGTTGTTACCTCAGCTCCAGACATGATTATATTTTCTGAATAGCCAACATGGAACAACATGGGATAAGCTTGCGTTAAAGTAGCCGATGTATCTCCTTATCTACTCCATTTTAAGAATACAAGCCTGAGTGATAATTGCTATTATTATCCCAGAAAGAATGCAGGGATACAAAGGGAGTGGCTGGCTCACCTTGCCTGCGTGGTCTCCAGGCAATCGTAAGTAGATGGGAGCTCTGCAATCAGCATGTCTGTAATGATTAACATGAAGTACATGTTAATATGGTAACATGGTACAGTGGCGCACCCAGGAGCTCTGTTTCAGAGGCATCTCCCTAGCAACCCCACTCATTCTCAGCGCCAGAGAGGGGGCACCTGATCATCCATTTCCAGTATGCATACAGAAACTAGCAGGCCTTATAGAATGACTGGCTATTACTTTTGGCAATCAGGCTGCCTCTCCAAGAGCCTTAGTTCAAACTATCCTCTACCATCACGCTATGGAAGCTTCATTCACTGACTGTGAGGGTAAATTGCTCATAAGCCCATAGAGCATGTGGCAGTCTCCATGGGACCCCAGGAACCAGAGCACAGGGTGGGTATCCTTCATGGCCTTCATGGTTCACAGGGCACCTTGGTCTGTGTGCCACAGCAACCATCATGATTTAGGACCACAGCTTGTTTTGTCCCAGTGCAGATGAGATGCCAAGCAGGTTACGCTGGGTGCTTACTTGGGTAAGTAGCTGGTAGCAGAGCAACTGTTTGAAGACATCACTAGCTCCTTTCCATGCCAGAGGCAAGCAACCCAGAAATGCACAAAATACTAGAAGCTCCAAGCCTGCCCATAAGGACTGTAACAGAAAGAATCCTTGGAGGGAGGCAGGGAAGAACCCTTGGAGAAATCCGTAAGGACAAGCAAAATGGACTGAGAAAAAGGGACTGGAATACAACTTAGGACCCACAAGACAGATGCATGGTACTGGGGTGTGGGTGAAGGGTCTGAGCTGCAGCCTGTCCCATCATGCCAGCTTCCTGCAAGAGACTGATGTGACTGTTCCTTAGGGCCATGTTTCCTGTGAGTGATGTGTCTGTTCCTTAGGGGCAAAGGTGTATGTATTTACACAGGTGCAGTTCTCTCAATATCTTAGGACTACAGCCGATAATGGCTGGTAGGGGCGGCACCTGCCACGTCCCACGGTGGAGACTCACGGTCACTAACAACTTCTATCCACCGAAGCTAGGCAGCCCCTCCTGCTTTTTGCTGTCGAGAGGGTTCCCGTACAGTATTGATGCCCCCCACTCCCACCGTGTGTGTGCACGCACGTGCCCGTGTAACCTTCACAAGCTTGCATTGGCCAGAGTGTGCAAAAAAGTCAAGACCCAAATTGCAACATTCCTTAGTGAAAGCTGCTTTGAGTTCTTCTGAACAAGGCATAGAACGGCCAATATGGCTTAGAGGGGAATGGACGGGTTGTGAGCGAGTAAAGCGGCCAAGCCACCCACACCGGTGCTGCGTCACGCTGGGAAACTGACCTCCCTCAGGAACTTTGAGAAACAGCCTGCTTAGGAGGTTGGCTTTGTTTTACTCTAGCCACCACACGTCTTACCTAAGGTCACATGGTGCCCTTTCAGGCCTGGTCACAAGCCCTGTGGCTTTAGCCGGTGGGTTCTTTGCTAGGGGGCGCTCCGTACCGGGTGGTGAACCTACAGACCACCTGTCGCCTGGCCAACGAGGTGCTCGGCCCTAGGGATCCCGGGTCTTTAGAGCACGAAGAGGGGTTTGCGCACGGACCCTGGGGGAAGGAGAGGACCTGCGGGTGTCCGCATTCTTTCAGAAAACGAGGTCGGGCAGCGCACTGCAGGGCATGGCAGAGCACCGCCGGACCGTATGACCTGTCCTGTCTGCCCTGGTGCCGGCCCGTGCAGCGCGCACTCCCTTGAAGCGCGCGTGCCGGGCACCAGCCCCACCCCCCCGGTGGCGTGTGCGCACGTCATATGGGCCGCCCTCCTCCTATTGGCTCCCGCCGCCTCACCAGACCCCGAGCGGACAGGCGCGCGGGCAGGGCGGAGCCGCTGGAAGACACGCCCCCCAGCGGGGCGCGCGGGCGGTCTATAGGCCGAGTGAGGTCACGTGATACCACCGGCGGCCCGCCTTATAAGCGGAACCCGCGCGGGGCCGCGGCCGCTCCTGGGCCGTCCGGGCGCGCTACGTGTGGTGTCGTGGCGTGCTCCTCCCACGGTGCGCCTGGCCGCCGATGCCCAGGTTGCACGACCACGTCTGGAGCTGCCCGAGCGCCGGCGCTGCGAGGTCGTACAGCCTCCCGCGAGGCATGATTGCGGCAGCTCGCTGTCCGCAGGGCCCCGGAGCCACAGAGCCCTTGCCCCGGGTCCAGCGAGCTGGAACGGCAGGATGCGGCGCGAGGCCCGGCAGCTGGCACCACGACCTGGTGCAGCGGAGCCTCGTGCTTTTCTCGTTCGGTGTGGTCCTGGCCCTGGTGCTCAACCTGCTGCAGATCCAGCGGAATGTCACGCTCTTCCCCGACGAGGTGATCGCCACCATCTTCTCTTCTGCCTGGTGGGTGCCCCCGTGCTGTGGCACGGCAGCCGGTGAGTACCCTTCCTTGTTCTTGGAGTCGGGGGGGTGGGGGGACGACTACACGTCAGCTGTTGTCACCCTGAGTACAAGAAAAGGGAGACGAGAGGGTTGGGAGCCCCAGACGCGGGCGAGAGACAAGCGGAAGTTGGAGGGACTAGTGATGGAGATGAGGTCAGGAGATAATTGGCAGTTTAAGTGGAGGAGTCGCAGCTGTCTCGCATAGTCAGAAGCTAGGATTGGCCGCCTGGAGAACTGGTGAGGACAGCACCACGCAGCCATTGGCTGCCTGAGCAAACGTGCTACCCCGCTGAATAACTGAAAACAAACCATCACGTGCGTTCAAGAGGCTGTTGCCAGGGGACAGACTTCTCCACACTTCCTTCTGCTGATAGTGAGTGCCTTGTGACTAGCAGCCAAGCCCTCTGGAGCTCCAGTAGACTTGGGACAGTAATAAAGGAGGAACCTTTGGGCCTAAGCACACCTATGGTGTCACCTCTCATGCCCAACGAAACTTGTGACAGTGAGACAGTCTTTTTCTTTTTTCTTTTTTTTGATCATTTTGCTGGTTTTACAAAAAAAAAAAAAAGTTGACTGGTCACAGCCCAATAGATCCCTGCATATCCCTCAATGCACAGCATATATTCCAAAGACATCTGTCAGGTGTCTGTGTCCCGCCTTGCTTGTCTTTGGCCTGTGTGGGTGGGCAGTATAAGCTCTGGTACACCTTTCCTCCAGACTGGAGAGACAGACACGCCTGTGCCTGTGACCGCAGGACAGCAGGAGCAGCTCCTGTCTGCTTTGAAGCCAGCTTTTATGGACTGCCTGTCTAAGCTTTATGTGCTGGGCTTCGCTCCTGGGCTGTAGCTGAGTCATGGGTTGGATGTAATGTGCAGGGTACTTAATTCCCAAGGTTGCTCTGAGGCTCATCTGCAGCATTATGGGGTCAGCCTTTTGACAGCTGCGTGCTTGTGCCAGGAAGGTTGATGTAGCCATTGGGACAAAGTTGGTATCTTTGTTTTCAAAGCACTCTACCTCACGGTTGAATATCTTGTATATTTGGGACTGGAGGTGGCCTCATACATGTTAGGCAAATCATTTGCCCCTGAACTATTACCCCAGCACTTAAAAGTTCTTTGGGGGCATAAGATGTAGATTTGAAATTCTGTTCTTCGTACGTATGGAACATAAAGTTTGTAATGGAAGTTTTGAGGAATACTTGAGCTGGTTTCTCACCTCCGCTGAATACGTGGCGGAACCTGCATCTTTCTCACTGCTGTCAAGGCTGAATGACTGCAACCTGAGATCTTGAACTTAACTGCAACTCACACATACCTTGTGTCCCATGGGGGCTCTCCCACTTGTACTGCAAACACCCCTTTCCTGTTTTTTACTCTCTTGCTCTCTTCTGGAATACCCAGCTTGCCGCTGTCCAAGTGTTTAGGAGTCTGAGTCTATGTGACAGTTCTAACTCAGAACCACAAAACCTCTTCCTTCTCTGCCCTCCACTTCACTTACATAACTCTAATTTCACACATGAGGAAACAAGCAGGAGGAGGCCCAGCCATCCTAGGGCAGCCTGGGACTGGCAGCAGAGCTCTCCCTTCCTAGGGCCCTGCCCTCCCCACAGTGTGCCACTTGTCCCACTGGGGCCAGGCCTAGGCAAGAGGAAGCGCTGTGAAGTGGCCATGCCACAGCCTTTTCCTATAGGGTATTTGCAAGATAGTAAGTACTTAGTGCTGCAGGTGACAAACGGCCTAGGAAAAGAAGTGGTTCGGATCCTATTAATAATGACCACACAAGCGCTAATTTTAGCCAGTATATTCTAATCCTGTTTTTGTTTTTCTTCACATAGCTGTTGTCGGCCTACTGTACCCCTGTATTGACAGTCATCTTGGAGAACCTCACAAGTTCAAGAGAGAGTGGGCTAGCGTCATGCGCTGTATAGCGGTGTTCGTTGGAATCAACCACGCCAGTGCCGTATCCTCAGTTACTGTGACCGGGTGTTGATGTTCATTCCCTCATCCCTGTACTTTAGAGGAATTCTGGACTTCAGTTTCTAGGGCCTTTTACTCATCTTAGGACAGTTGGACTAACACCAGAAGTGGATGTGCTCTGCCCCTCAGTCACTGCCTCTCAGTGGACTTGATCCATCCTCCCTCTTAGCTTTTGCCCCACTGACGTGCTTGTTCCTGTGATAGAGAATTAGTGAGAGCCTTGCTCCTGCCCTGTCATAGAAGTCCAGGGCTGCTCAGGTAGCCCTGGGCTTCTAGTGTCCAAAGCTGACACACTCCTTTCATGCAGTGTGCTGTGTTTTTGTGCATTATACATTTTTTATGAAAATGATTGATTTGATATAAATGCTTCAAATACTATATTTTTGAGTAACTTGGAGTAAAAGATACTATGTTGTATACTGACGTCAGGGGCTCTTTCCTTACTCAGATGATTCACAGGGTAACTCTGATAGTGCTGATTGGCAGGCGCTGAATAAACTGACTGACTTGTCCCTGCCCTTCAGCCTGGGGTGGTTCAGAGACAACATGGGGTAGTGCCTGTTTGTCGCAACTCACTGAAAAGAAGGGGTGAGGAGGTAGAGACAATGTCTTAGCAGAGGTTCATTGCTTGTGGCTCTCAGGAGTTTGAAAAGCCAGTGCTCTGGATGCGGTACTCCTGGGGTGGGTGTCTTAGGTTTGTTTATGTCATCCTGGAAGTAGGGGTTCAGCTTTGTTTATATGCCGTCATTACCAGCAGCACGTTACTGTATAATGTGGCCTGTGAGTTATTCTGGGGTTTAGTGTTTTCTTATGATAAATTAGGAAACTTTTCCTTAACTTTTGGATCTCTAGAAATTGGATTTTGCCAATAATGTCCAGCTGTCCTTGACTTTAGCAGCCCTGTCTTTGGGCCTGTGGTGGACGTTTGACCGCTCCCGAAGTGGCCTTGGGCTCGGGATCACCATCGCCTTCCTAGCTACGCTGATCACTCAGCTTCTTGTGTATAATGGTGTCTACCAGTAAGTGTATTCAAATGTTGCTTTGCTTTGGTAACAACACCTACTTGTTAAGTGTAGACGTTTTGTAGTTATTTGGCTTTTTGTGCAAAATAACTTTGAAAATCTCCAAATGGTTTTTCTTGGCACATATTAAAAACTCACTATCCAAGCCAGGTGGTGGTGGCACGTGCCTTTAATCCCATCATTTGGGAATTCCAACAGAGGCAGGTGAATCTCTGTGAGTTTGAGGCTAGCCTGGTCTACAAAGTGAGTTCCAGGACAGCCAAAACGATTACATAGAGAAACCCTGTCTCAGAAAAACAAAAAACTCATTATTCATAACTTGGTGAGAAGAAAGTCTGGTGGCCGTAAAACATGTCTTTCAGACACTGGCATTTGAGGTTAACTGTAGCTCACAAATGTCTCCTACACCCACATCACGGGAGTCCTGGACCCCAGGCTGCCTGGGTAGCTAAGACTGTTTTGTTTTCTCCCCAGGTACACATCCCCAGATTTCCTCTATATTCGCTCCTGGCTCCCGTGTATATTTTTCTCAGGTGGCGTCACAGTGGGAAACATAGGACGGCAGTTAGCTATGGTGAGTACAGTGGCCAGTGTTCTCTGGACACTCGAGGATTGTTAGTGTGACAGCTGTATTTGGTGTTGATGTTTGCCTCATTCAGATTCCTTAGCAACAGTTGATGAGGATACTCCATGGTAAATATAAAATGATACCTAGCTGGGTCTTCCCTAAGTTACGATGTCTAGATTTTTAGTACTTGTTCATGCTGGAAAGCAACCAGAGCTTCAGGATGGCCATGTGTCCTGCAGCTGCATCCTGTGGTTTCTCTAAGTGCACACACCCAGTAGGTAGCCACACTGTCAGTTGCTCTCTAGAATCTGTTGGCAAAGTCAGTGGGGTGCAGGCGATGCTGGAGTTCCTTGTCTTTAGACAAACCAGCATGTACTCCCTACCAAAAGGTACCTGAACCCAGGCACCGGAAGGAATCATCCAGAGAGCTCTAGAACATGGCTTGACCACTGTATAAAGGGGCCATCTTGTTGGGGTACTAACTCTCTTCTCCCTGAGAGAGAAGACAGTGCCACCTCCTTACATCCAGGGTCACTTCTGAGGCAACTGGACAGCTAAGTGCAGAATCTTGTAGCAGGTCACTTCACCAGGCAGCAATTGCCACTTGAACACTTTAATTTTAAAGATAATGTGGACGTTTTAGTTCAAGAGGAACTAAACACAAACATATTGACACATGGGCATAAGTGTAGTGAACTTCACAGGAGGGTGACTAGGAGTGAGCCATCGCACACAGGGTTGAGCTCTAGGGCTTTCTCTGAGTGCTTATCTCAGTGTTTCATGCTATTTTTAAACTGCCACCTGACACCTGCTCCTGAGAAGCTGAAGTTGAAGGCCACTTGGATATCTCACAAAAATTCCAGTCCTTTCTAAGGGCTCACACTAGAGGTGTCTTTCTCTTCTGTCCCTCTAATCCTCTACAGATCA